GGTAGATTTTGATTGCATAACAGTGTTGGGTTTAGAATCGTGCAAACAACTTAATGTACTACAACGAGTTAATGTTGTTAACAATAATTCTAGTCATATTCTACTAAAAGATTACAATGATATATTTGAAGGTCTAGGCTGCCTACCAATAAAATGTCATATTCATATTAACAATGAGGTCCAACCTATTATTGATGCACCTCGTAAAATTCCTTTTGYTCTGTATGAACAACTTCGTAAAGAACTGGATAGTATGTGTGATTTAAAAGTGATACAGAAAATTGCTTCACCAACGTCATGGGTTAGTTCAATAGTCATAGTAAAAAAAGAAAAATAATAAATTAAGAATATGCTTAGATCCTAGAAATTTGAATAGAGCAATTAGTAGGTCACATTATCCTCTCCCTACTTTTGAGGCAGTTAAAACTCAATTGAGTGGAACAAAATTTTTTTCAACACTGGATGCCAACTCTGGGTTTTGGATGATACCACTTGACGAAAAAAGCTCTGAGCTCTGTACGTTTAATACACCTTTTGGTAGATACAAATTTCTTAGGTTGCCATATGGTCTTAACTGTGCACCTGAAATTTTTCATCGTATTATAACTGAATTAWTCTCTGATATTGATGGAGTTATTGTATATATTGATGACTTAATTATAACAGGTTCAACACTAGAAGAGCATAATCAACGACTTAAAAAAGTGTTTGATAGAGCTAGGGAAGTTAATTTAAAATTTAATAAAAGTAAATGTATAATAGGTGTTACTAAATAAAATTTTTGGGTCATGTTTTTAATAGTCAAGGGGTTAAACCTGATCCTGATAAAATTACAGCCATTGTCAATATGCCTTCTCCTAAGTCAGTTAAAGATTTACAAAGATTTCTGGGCATGATAAATTATTTAAGTTCTTATATCCCTAAATTAGCTGATGAGACAACACTTCTGCGTTCACTGCTAAAAAAAAACACATCATGGGTATGGGATGAAAACTATGAATCTGTGTTTAATAAGGATAAAAACAGTATCACAACTGCACCTGTCTTATTTTATTATGAACCATCGTTACCACTTACATTGTCAGTTCGACGCCCCAGTTCAAAACTGCAACTCAAAAAATTTCAAATTCGAGTTATTMATACCATATTTTTTGTCATTTTATAACGATTTCAGTTCAAGAACGCAATAAAATATAGTTAAATTATTGTCCAGAAGAGAGCGTTTGTTTCGTTTTGTATTATAATGTATATTACAATTCCATTCAATTCAATACAGAAATAAATCGACTTATTGCAATAATGAACTGAAAATGTTTTGTTTTTTCTAAGTTGATACAGTCTGTACATTAAGATAATAATTAATATTTATTATAGCACATAATCAATTACTATCATTTTGTATTATTTCTTATTATTAGGTATGTTACTCAAATGACTAATTAGCTTCATTTTGAGAATAATTATAATGTTATTTGTTGTTATTGGTTTATTTCGTGTTACCTATTTAGTTTCATAGTTTTAATAAATTAAGTAATACAGTTTTGTTAAAAATGTTACGTTCAAGAAGAGCAAAACTAATTGCAGATTCAGTTGTTGTATCTAATGTTGTAAGTACGTACTTATTTTAATACAAATTGTATAATTATGTTTAATGCAGTCCAATGAATTTTAGTGTTGAACTGTACATATTTTGAACTTTTGTTAATAACATAATCATAGTATAAAATATAATAGAAATTAATGCTAATAATATTATGACTATACTAAGTGACTTTGTGTGAAACAGGAAATATTTAATAAACCTGTGACAAATACTGAATATATCAAAAATAAATATGTACAAGAATGGGTCAATATGCAGAMAGATTTTTCTACTACCAACAAAAAAAGTAATTTAAATATAGATAATCATTAAAATAAAATATTATTCTACTACTACTTACATTAAATTAAATTATTATTGTAATAGTATATTTTACTGTTATATTTACTATGCATTAAAAAAGTTTGATGTATGTAATTTATTATTATTTAGGCCTTGACAATGTGTCCATTGAACAGATTACTGATTCAGATCTTGATGAAGATGTTGACGATGAAGATAAAGACAAAACCTATGAGCCACCAGCAACTGAAATCATACACCACAGCTCTAAAACATCATCTATATCAAATAGTACCCCAAAACCAAACGATCTTGTAAAAGGTAATACAACTTTATCAATTAATCATAATGTTAAAGAAATTGCTAAGCCATTAACGAGAAAAAGATTAAGAAACGAAAGTAACTGGGGAAAAAATGTACAAAAGAAATTGAAGAATGAAGGAAAAGAATATGTTAGAAAGTCTAAACTGAATGTAGTGCCAGCAAAAAAAGTAGGAATACCATGTGGGGAGAAATGCAGACTTAAGTGTGCAAACAAATTGACTTTTGAACAACGTTCAGTAATTCATAACCAGTACTGGAAAATAGGAGATATTAATAGGCAACGTGAGTTTATAATGAGGCAAATATCACCCATAATGCCAAAGTATCGTAGTCGCCTTGATAGCAACAGATCCCTCAACTATAGTTATAAGTTTGAAGTTGATGATAAGAGTGTTCGAGTATGCAAACCAATGTTTATGTCTACCTTAGATATTTCAAGTCGAGTAATTTTCACACCTACAAAAAAATAAAGTAATGGCATACTTGAAATTGATCAACGTGGAAGACATGGAAATCTTGGTAGAAAAGTAGATGATGAAATTAAAGAAGGAATAAGGAATCATATTAAATCTTTTACCTCAGTTCCATCACATTATTGTAGAGCAAATAGTACTAGACAATATATAGATGGAAATTTAAATATATCTCTAATGTATAGAAAAATATATGTATGTAGAAAAATGTAATGAAGAACATGTTGTGTATGGTAAAAAAAATATGTATGAAAGTATTTTTAATCAAGAGTTCAATATTTCCTTTTTTAAACCAAAAAAAGATTTGTGTATGTGTTGTGAAGCCTATAAAAATAAAACTGAATCCGATGATAACATTATTACTGAAAAGTGAAAACTATGAAAAGCACCAACAAGAAAAAAATCTGTGTAGATAAGAAAAAGAAAAGGATATTTCTGATGAAAATAATATTGTTGGATGTTTTGATTTACAAGCAGTTTTAATTACACCTCGTGGGGAAATATCTCAATTTTATTATAAAAGGCGATTGGCATGTTATAATTTTACCATTTACAATATAAAAGATAAAGCAGGAATATGCTACTTTTGGCATGAAGCTATTGCCAAACGAGGTTCAAATGAAATCGGTTCTTGCCTTTATCAATATATCAAATCTAACCAAAATGAAAGCAAAAACATGGTTTTTTACTGCGATAATTGTGGTGGTCAAAATAAAAATAAATTTGTTGTTTCAATTTTGATTTACTGTGCCATGACTCTTGATATTAAATCTATCACTCTGAAGTTTTTTACTGTTGGTCATTCACAAAATGAAGGGTGATTCCATGTATGCCAGAATCGAAAATGAAGCTAATAGAATTTTAAAAGGCGGTCCAATCTATCAACCTTCCCAGTGGGTTAGTGTGATAAAATGTGCCAAAAAAAATGGCAAACCTTATACAGTATATGAAATGCAAAATGAAGATTTTTTTGATTTGAAAATATTATCATCTGATTTAGGTAATAACTTTAACATAAATGAAGATGGGGAAAAAGTGTTATGGCAATCTATCAAAGTTATTCAAATTGAAAAAAGCAACCCTACTCTTATGAATTACAAAACAAGTTATTCTGAAGAATTATTTCAAACCATTAACATCAGACAGAAAATTAGAAAACCATTAACTTCAATCCCAGAAGTAAAAACTTTAACTACACCAGTTAAAATTTCTATTGACAAAAAAAAAGATCTTTTATCACTATGTCATAGTAATGCTATTCCCAAAAACCATTGGGCGTTTTATGAAAGTTTACAAGCTGTAGAGACTACAGACTAGTACTGTAACTATGTGATAGGTGTGATATAGTGTGACTAGGTATAAGACTTTGAAACATTCCAAAGACGGGTATATTTTGATTATTATTTTATTATATTTTAATGAACATTCATATTCATAATGTTGTTTTAATTATTAGGTATTATAAACTATATAGAATACATACATAATTGAATTTTGTTTTTTTTTTATAATTTGTGATGTTTGTTTTATAAATTATATTTTTATTATTATTTCTATTTAGGTACTTAGTAAAATAAATTATTTTACTACTTAACTATTCAAAAATTATTACTAAAAGTACCTTACTTATAACTTTTATTGTATTGAATTATACTGTTTTAAGGATGTGTTGTTTAATTTTAACTAAAATAATTTTTATAGTATTGAATTTGCTAAACGTATGTGATAAAACATGGTTAATACRGTCTGTTATTAAACAGTTTTATGATAATTTTTTTAATTTTTTATGATGTGATTTTTATTATTATTCTATTTTTATTCAGGAGTTGATTATTAATTAAGTTGTTAATTGTTTGTTTGTGGTCTTTTATTCATTAACGAAATATATCTAGTTGTTGCATACTGTTTTTTAATATTTCAGTTCAAGAACGAAAAAGTCTTATTAWTGCTCAGGTATTTGCAATTTATCAATTCAAAACTGCAATATGTGCTTAAGATTTATTTCGTTTTAAATAAAATTAAAAAAGCAAGCTAATGTTAAATTCAGACTATTAAGCCAATGCTGCATACCAAATTTGGTCATTCTATCTCGATTTCACAATTATTTATAGCATATTGAAAATTGTAAGTTTTTTTGAAACATTATACCCGAAAAAAAGGTTTTTTGAGTTGTTGCAGTTTTGAACTGGGGCGTCGAGTTGATGCATCTCAATTTGCAGTTGGCGCAGTTATTTTACAGAACAACAAGCCTTGTGCTTACGCTTCACAAACCCTTACTTCTGCACAACAAAACTATGCACAAATAGAAAAAGAACTCTATGCAATTGTTTTTGGTTGTAAAAGGTTTCACCAATATTTTATATGGTCAAATTGTCAAGGTACAGACAGATCATAAGCCTTTAGTTTCACTGTTCAAAAAGCCTTTACATTCGGTCCCTACTAGATTACAGCGTATGATGTTAAATATTCAATCTTATCATCTTGATGTTGAATATGTCCCTGGTAAACTGATGGTTTTAGCGGATACATTGTCAAGGRCTCCACTTCCAGACTTTAATGARGACAATATARATGAAGAATTAATCTTGCAAGTTCAAGCATTTTCTGAAAACTTAGCCATTGGAAAACAATATCTTGTCAAAATAAAAAATGAAACTTTAAATGATATAGTATTGCAGAAAATTAAAAATATTTGTATGTCAGGGTGGCCTCTAAATAAGCCTCTTCTTGAGAATACTCTCAAACCTTTTTGGACTTTTCAGAGATGAAATTCATGTGATTGATGACTTAGTCTTTAAGGTTTATTGTTTAATTGTACCTACTAAACTTAGATCTGATATGTTAAAACTTATTCATGAAGGCCATATGGGTATTGAACGCTGTAGAAATCAAATAAAAGATGTATTGTTCTGGCCAGGTATAAACAWTGATATKAAAAATGTTGTAGAAAGTTGTGAGGTGTGTCTTAAATATCGAAACAATAATACCAATGAAAGAACCTAAAGAACCAATGATTAGTCATGCTATACAAGATCTACCTTGGCAAAAACTAGGTATAGACTTATTTCACCATAATGATTAAACTTATTTATTGGTAGTCGATTACTATTCAAAATTTATTGAAATAGCTCATTTGTCTAAGGGTTCACAGGCAAAATTAGTTATTACTCAATTAATGAACATTCATATTCATAATGTATGTTTGCTCGATTTGGTATACCTATGGAGATAATATCGGATAATGGACCACCGTTCAATAGTGAAGAATTTAAATTATTTAGTATTGAATGGGGTATAAACACTGTCACTTCTAGCCCAAATTATCCACAGTCCAATGGATTAGCAGAAAGATGCGTACAAATAGTGAAAAAGTTACTTAAAAACAAGGCTTGGCATTAACGAGTTAAAAGTTAAAATTAAGTTAAAACGTTAAGTTAATTTTAATTAAGTTAATTAACTCGTTACTTTTTTTACAAATTAACTTTTAACTTAATAAGTTACTTTTTTTTAAGATTAACATGTTAACTTTAAGTTAATTTTAGTGCAAAGAAAAATGCAAATTATTAATGAGGTTTTTAGTATATTTTATGATTTACTATTTTAATATGAATTTCCTGTAGACGAAAATAATATGAAAAATAACTTTAATAGTCATTATATGGGCTATATAATATCTACCTACACATTTATCATTATAAATTGTATTAATAATATTTTCAAAGATAGGTTATACAGATTATCGTTTAAATGGGTTCCCTGAAGTGGATGTCGAATGTTGTCGTGAACGTTTTTCCATTATTAAATAAATGCAATTATAATCGGCTAGTCCAAATTTGGTTCAACAATAATTTATTACCGGCATTATAACAAGTCACAACACAGATAAAATGCATAATTTAATAAATAATTGTTTTGACATGTTATTGGTGAAGCCTATAATAAAGACAACTAATAAGTAATAAAATGATAAAATATAAGTATACCATCATGTGTYAACCTTCGTAATATAAATTTATTACCCATTCAATATTTCTGCTTGGTATTTAATTAAATTTATATAAATTTAATTAATATGATGTATATTTCGCTTAAACTTTTACAGATATGAGTGAATAGCTTTTTATATACAAATATACTATATAATATTAAAATAAAGAGTACCTAAAGATAATATAATATAATTGTTATTTGTATGTATTTAACTTAAATAAGATTACAAGAATTTTATATTACAGTAAGTTCTCGTTACAACGAATACCGATACAACGAAAAATCCCGTTATAACGAAAGTAATAGAAGTTCCCTGCCGAAAAGCTATTAAAACAATGTTAAACTAATCTCAATATAACGAAATGATTGATTTTTAAAAATCCCGATACAACGAACTATTTGTACAGCGTACAGGTTAAAATATATGTATTTTCCCTTCTTAATTTAATCTAAAGATAACAAGCATACGATTTTACGAAATTATCAAGCCATTAAATTGTCATTATGTGT